GAATTAAACAGGATTTGTTGTAAATTGGACGTGGTCTCACAGGTAACGAGCTTGCAATTCTACTTGAACTAATATATATACACATATTATTGCTTTTTGTAACGTTCGCTCTTCGATTGTGTTTATCATCGTCCTTCTAACACAGCCATATCTATATCGATAGGTTACGTGTAGTGATCTTCACGATAAACTTTAGTGATCGTCAACTCAAGTGACTCGCTGACACTTTCTTTGTCTCCACGATGCAGGAAGAAAGCAATAGTTCTGCTTTATCTGGAAATTCCAATAAAAGTATCGTCTCTCCAGATAAATCGTTGAATACGACCCCTCTTTCCGAGTCATCTGGAAATTCTAGTACGGGATTCCTCAAAACTTTATTTACTAGTCCTACAAAAAAGGATATTCAAAATCCTCTTAGCACAATTAGAGATACACATTGCAAATATTGTTCAAAACCGATAAACAATCGGTTCTGCGATTTTCGCTGCAATGGTGACTGCAACAGTGTCGCACATTATCGTTGCACAGTACAAGCTTACAAAAGTATACAGATAAACATTCGCCCTGATCGTTTCTTTTGCCTTTGGTGTACTGTTTATAAATATGAGGAGAATGCTCGCCAGCAGTTCCAAATACTTATCGATGAAACTGATACTTTAAATAAAAGTAATGATTTAGCTGAAAATTCCAATAAGAATGTCATCACTCCAAAAAAATCACAGAAAATGTCACCTAAAATTCTCATAAACCCATCTTCACCCTCCAAGTCATCTGGAAATTCTAATGAAAGATCCTTCAAAATTACTGCTACGACTATTACTTCTCCGAAGACTGAATGCGTTTTCTCAATGCCCGTTTCTCCTTGTCGTCCAAGTAATTGTTCCTCCCTCAAACCAGTTTCGTCTGAAAGTGATATTTTAAATAAAAATAGTACTACTTTATCTGGAAATCTCAATAAGAGTATCGTCTCTCTAGATAAATCATTAAATACGACGCCTCTTTCCGAGTCATCTGGAAATTCTAGTATGGGACTCTTCAAAACTTTATTTACTAGTCCTACAAAAAAATCCCCGAATGTGACGCCTAAGACTCCTATTTCCGGGTCATTTCAAATTGATAATGAAATTATAGATAAATCCTTCAAAATCGACACTCCTACTACTCCTGTTACTCCAAACAGTTTTTCAATACCCTTTTCTCCTGGTCTTCCAAGTGTGAGTTCCCCCCTCAAATCAATCTCCCCTTCGTCTAAAACACAGATAGTCCCTTATGAAGAAAATCTACACTTTACCTTCCCAGAACATAATATAGAAGAATCTTCTTCTAATAAATCTATTATGAACAAGATATTGCTAGAGCTTCAACAATGTAAACAGTTACTGCAGGAAAGAGTATCACATCAAACAATGACGACCTCGTTTGAACAAGACAAAAAGTATTATTTGAGAAGTCTGAAAAATCTAATGTACTTAAATCATGAGGGTCTCCGTAAAATTGAAGCGCAAATGTGTACTGTTCAGACTCAATGTACAGAGCTCTGTAATCATTTAAGTAAGATAGTTTCAAAAAATATCTCTGAAGAACAGAAGGTTGAATTCGTATGTAAGATGTAAGACATTTAGGTCTAAAGAGAGACAAGGAAGACGTTAAGCAATCATCTGCTAAATCTGCCAGAAACTTATGAATAAGAAATTGTCTATTGTAATCACGACATTAGCTGTTTTGCAAGTTAATCTTATATGTAGCTTTGAAAACACAATCCCTCGCATGCTCTTGTTTCTTCCGATAGACGAAACGACAGCTTTCGAAATTCTGTTTTCTTTCTCTTTATAGTAAATGTTCGGCGAAAAAAAACTTCACCTTATCGCGATGTCCTCATTCCTTTGGGATTAAACAAATTATCTGAATCGAGTGAAGATTTTTCTTAACATCGAACAGCTGCTGTTACTCGTAAATTTTCATCGATATATATATTTTAATTAAAAATAACATTTTTTTGTTACTGAAAAATATTTTTAGAATATATTATCCTGAAAACTCACAGCACTGATGTGGATGTATGAATATTTGAATCTCTCATTTTTATTTATAATTCATACGTGTATTTTTTAGCCTTTTTTTTAGCCAATACTTACATTCCAGTTAAGCTTATCTTTTCCAACAGAAAGAGGACAGAATTACAAATGCCGTTGTCAAAAAATATAAATAATTTATGTTTTAAGATACGACTTAAGCATACCATGTGTGTTCTTAATTATTCAATTGACAAGGTTTGATCTGATAATTTTATATACCGACCAAAAATTGTTGCGCGCTGCTGTTTGCACTTCGTATTATACGCTTGTATCATGTGAATATTGTATAAGAATTATACAAATATAGTTTTTCAAAACGCATTACACAAATAATTATAAGAATTATATAAATAATTATATTCTATAACTCTGAATTTTGTAAAACCGTTTCGTATACGAAAAGAACAGTTTCACTGAGGTATCTAAAAATTTAACTAAATATAAATCTGAAAACAAATTTATTGAACTGGTAAAATAATTATATGAAACGCTCATGCTAATCGCTGGATCAGCGATATAAATTTTTTTTGCATTATTCATCATGCTTGAATTTTTCTAATTATTTTGATGACTAAAGAATTATTATCAAATTTATATCTAAATTTTTAAATACTTCAACAAAATCTTTCTTTTCGTGTAAGACCAGTTTTTGAAATAACAAGCCTCTCATAACACTTTCAAATGTACATCAATAACATTGTGCGTAAAAAAATTGTCTGAACTTAGGAAAACTCTCATGAGATTCGATTCTCTTTTTTATGTTTTATTATTGAGTGTTCGAATGAATGTTTTCACCGATAACATTTTCATGTTTTGCTCGTTATTATAGTTATGAAAAATGCAACAAACGCCGTTGAGAGTAATTTTAACAAAATTGAACACTATCATAAGAATGTTATCAATAAAATACGCACTAAATATTGTACTGTAATACAGTAGTACTAAATAACAACAATATTTGATACATATTGCAGTAGTATTTCATGAGATAACTGACAACATATGACAGCGTGAAGTCGATCTTTGTATCACATATATACGAATATATGGCACTCGCAGCCTCGACCACTGAGAGGTAGATATCTCTCTACTGTGTCCCAATTATTCAAAATATCTCAAATTTACAAAACGACAAATTTACCAAAATGTAAATGTAATACATATAAATATATGTATTAATCGCATGCTGATCGAACTTAGAAAACTGTATATAGTTCCGTTATTTAAGAAGGTTTATTCAAGATGTGCTCTCAAAAGCAGAGAATATCTATATATTTTTTGCACGGTATTTGATGTTTTATTAAACTAACTGTAGCCTTTTAAAAATATGTAGTAAAAATTGGGAAGAAATTTAAATTCAAATCCTATCACTTCTTATAGCATATATAAATTTGGCACATATATATACATATTGTACATACACTTGAGAGATTATTACATATACTATTTATGTCAAATATTAAATATATATATATATATATATAAAACTCTTAAGTGTAACTTTAAAATGGATATTGAAAATTTTTTTGTGTGGAAATATAAATTGAAAATCTCTTCCCAATATTTATATATAATAAAATATTGTGTTTTTAATGCTATATATATATATATAATCTAATAACTATTTTTGTATTTATCATAAAGTTATACTGTACTATGTCATATCATATTTTGAACTCGCATAACTTAAAATCGCATGCTTATATTAAAACAAATTGTCAAATTTAAACAATATGTTTATTTTGAGTAAGAATTTATATATCGACGTTATCAATGAAGAGTACTGCGAAACTCTTTATTGATAATATCGATATAATCTTTTTTCAAGATGAATATTGTTCAAACATTAACTTTTTATAAAAATTCATGTGCAGCAGCTTTCTTTCTATTTCAAAGATCTTGTATAATTATAAATATTACTGTCAAACATCTATATTTGCGTATATATTATTTTTTCCTTTCTTCGAGATGTCACATTTCGTTAATTAAAAACAAGGAAAGTCTAAGCAAGAAAGCCGTAGTTGTAATAGTATAAAGCACGTATCGAAAGTCTAATTTTTTTACCGTTTAAGACAGGAGTGAAAGAGACAGGAAATGAGCTACATATTTCTCTCGCCGATCGAGACTGAAATTCCGTCAGTATCCAGAATGCCAGTGCGGATCGATGTGCACCGTTTAACGCAACCCCCTTGTCCCCTTTGAGAGCGTCCCGACGCTCGCAGCTGCAACGTCAGATTGGGGTGCTTCGGTTGCACCTGCAGCGTCGTATGTACCGTCTCGCGCAAAAAAAAAGAATGCCCCGGCGACGTCGCTTGTTAACAACGACGTCGTCTTCACAAACAAACACACGCGTCCTGACCCCCGATAGGTATATCATATATTAAACTATATACATATACTTGACGTACATAACATCCGTATATACATTTCCGCAATCGACCGTGCAAGCTCGCCTATCGGCGCCGCTTCACTCCAGAGAGATTGCTCTTGATGCACCGAGCGTCTGCAAGCGCCTATTACATCCGCACATATTAGATGTGTATACGCGTATCTCTAAATGTATAAATTAGTAGCCATAGTTAGATATAGAAGGAGACGTGTCCAATTTCGTTTGGAATTCGCATTCAGACATCGCGCGAAATAGACTTCAGTTAATTGTATGAAGAAAGATATCGAAAAATTATTTTTAACCTTACATTACTTGGTTTTTTAAACGTAATTATTCGCGTAGGATGTTTCTAACATATCAACATTATCTCATTTTCATTGTTCTCTTTGACAATTTATAATAAAATAAAAATATTTAAAAATTCTTTAGAAGAGATAAATGCAAAAACTTTCAATTCTGACAATTTACGCTAAATATAATAACATGTAGGTATAAATAGCTTTCATATATTTAACAAATGTATAAAGCGGAGATGTCCTGAACATTTCATAATAAAGCGTTAATCCTTATAGTATACACCAATGAGTCATTCGTGTCCTGCGAAATTCTTTTCTTTGAAATACTAGAAACATCTGGTTAAATAGTCTTTATCTCTCTCTCTTTTTTTTTTAAATACACGACTCTACAAAACTTTCTAAAGATATGAACCTTTAAGTATAGGTAGCTAGCTATCTTAAAAACTTCATTCTGGAAAAAGAATGTAAAAGTATTGTTCTCTCTCAGAAATCTTAAAGTTCATTATTTTTATGTTCCCCCCTCTCTCTCTCTCTCTTTCGTAAAGCTATAAATAATATAAATTTAAAAAAAAACTTTCTACATACTTAAAAATTAAATAAAGTATTTAATAAAAATTAATTTAAAATATAACTACACAGAAAAAAAATTTGCAGATTTTAAATAAATATTTACTCCAATAGTACTAACGAAATATTTACTAAATGTACATATATTTATTCGATTTAAATATAACTGTTTTATTTTAAATAAATATTTATTTACTATAAATAAATATTTCGTTAGTACTATTGGAGTAAATATTTATTTAAAATCTGCACATTTTTTTTTCAGTGTACAAAATTTATTTATTATCTTCACTTTCTGCACACGATTTTATTTCACATATGTGTTTTTACATTTATTTAGAGCAACAACATATGATATATTCATTCGCGTCGATCACGTCGAAAATCAAACTTCAATTCTACTGATATCGGTATCTGTCCATCAAAGTGCGAGCTTCAATAAGAAGTAAATATGTATATATCTAGAATTGTTAACGTATTGCAGACTTTTTGGAAACCGTTTGATCCACAACAGCGACGTAACAATCACGGGATGTACACGTCGGAAACAATCACGGGAGGTACACATATGTGCATAATGTCGAGCGATCGCAAATCCGTGAAATCATGAATGTATCATTAATCAGTGTTTGGTCATGAATGCCATCCCGGTGTAGAGCAATTCTCGCGAAATTATGTGTCAACGAATATTGTTTAACTTATAGCGTAGAATCGACGTTATGTGACTTACACACAGGCGGCGAGATCGCGCGTGTTCGGTTCCAAGTCGCTCTGTCAATTACACCTGTTGCAACGCTTCTATTTGCATGTTGCCACGAAACCGTAATCTCTCCGGTTTGTGCATTTGCAGACGTTTCGCAACCATTTAGTATTGCACGCATTGCATCGAATGTTCCTCCTCGGGCAAATAACTTGAATAGGTACGAGAACTCCCTTTATGTGTCGCACTTTATTGCGCGTCGTGCGACGTCGACTATCGCTTTTACACCCGCGACGAGAGTTTCACTCGCTCTTATTCCCGACAATTCTAATCACCAATAAATTGTCTCACAGAACGAGTGCACGAGATACACATGCAGTGCACTGGTGTTGTAAAACGATCGTGATGCGACATCGAAATTTAACGGAATATAATATTAATGATAGAGGATAATGATTTTATGCCCTTGAAAAAATGTAGTCGAAACTGATCACTAAAAAAAGCAACTGATGGATAATTATTCATTGTAACCGATGATAGCTTATCAGAATATTTAAACAACTTTACTAGTGAAACTTTACTATAA